CACAGGTTGTGAAGAAGAAAACCTATGCATTTAAGTATAAAAGAAAACTGAAGTTTATCTACCACCTCTTTTTTTCCTTTTCCTAGTTAAATTACATCTACTTGAAGGTCATAAAATGACTGTTTTTTAGTGCCACCTTTTGGGTGGTCTTGTTATTACATAATATCAGATTTGAAAAACTGGGAATTTTGTGTGCAGTGTGTTGCCTGTGTTTTCGTTGAACTCTAGCACATTAAGTTTCTGCCCTTAGTCTTTCCCATTAACTGTACAATTGAACATAAATAGATACAAAGTTTAGTGAATATTTGTTCATTTACATTCTGTAATAAAATGGGAGCTATGAGGCTTCCTTAGTATAAATCATGGGATTTAACCCCTGTCCATCCCACCTGGTATGTTCTTGATTCCCATCACAAACCCCAGTGTTGACATTCATATAAACTTTAATTTAAATTGTGCATACTTTTTCCCTTTTAGGAAACTTAAAGATCAGTGGACAACTGTGGCTGCTGACAGGGACGGTGTCATTGATTGACACAACCAAGGAAGATGCAGTGGCTTTTTGGATGCCTCATTATTTGCAAATGGCGGAGTTAGAATCAAACCTGGGACTCATAATTCTTATTCCATGAACTACATTAACTCACCTCAGAAAAAATATAGGCTCTAACAAATGTCCTCTGTTACTCCTATCTTGATAAAGTGGGTTGAACTCCAAATGAGGAGAGAAATCTGACCCTAAAATTTCACAAAATAACAGATTTGCCCACTCACATCTGATGTTTTAAATTACAGTCTGAATTTGACCAGTAACAAAGATTGCTTTGTTTAAGTTCAAAATGGAAAACATCACTAACTGTGCCCCAGCACCTGCATTCAACTCATGTAAATCATTCATTAAAGAGTCTAATTAGCACATTACCCATTCATTCATCTACACTCCCGAAGTCCTATTCCTTCAACTAATTAGATCACTAAAAAATGAGAAACCTAAAATATATTAACTTAGTTGATATAGAAAACATTTAACAAATTTGTGATATAATTTTAAACCCTCAGGTCAGTAAAAACATCATCTCTTAAACACGATTTTAGAGTGTTTTGTAAAATCATAGTAGTTCACCACTGAAATTTAATGTTCTTTATGGAAGTACCTCTTTTACATTTGACTCCAAAAAATTGTTACAAGGGAATTTATATCATTTAAATTATTATGATTATAAAAACAAAATTAACCTAAATCTCTTTTCTTCCAGGCAAATCAAACTCCTTGCCATTATGGTGATTCCATCATCCCAAGTACTCGATCACATTTACTCTTTCAGCTCTTTGCTGTTGACCTCTGTTCTGTTTTGTTTTCATTCTAAATTGTTCTACATTATGCTATGTTTACTTTTAGAAATTGTATTAAATCTTGTTGGATATAGCTCACATGCCAAAATGTAAGGGGTTAATTCAGGAATTCTAGCACGGAGGTTGTGGCTATTAGACCTTGCATCAGGTAGGAGCAGTATGGGGGAGCCACCTGCTCATGAGCCTTCCAAGACGTCATGGAGCTTAGCTGTAACTACTGATAATCATTGCCAGTGAAAAGATAAAGCAAAAATAAATGACAGCAAATGCAAATAACTGGTAGAAATATATGCATTAAACATGCTGAGACTGTAGACAAGAAGACTTGCAGTCAGACATAACCAGAGCTAAAGATTCTTAAGAGATTTATGAAGTCCCCTGAGTCTGACTGAAAGCTGGGCTTACAGGAACTTAGCAGCAGTCAGGTTGTCTTACTGGAAGCAAAACCACTGTGGTCCTGTGCTTGGGAGTTCATGACAGTAAACTACGGACAGTGGCCTCAAGAGGTAGAGGTAGCATTTGAGAAGGAGCCCACTGCTTCCCTCCCAAATCTATCATTCTGAGAACCACTGCTTTGGTGTGACAAAGGAGTGATTGAAGTTAAGGACCAGTACACATCTCTAATGAATCAATTACATAACTGACACATTCTGTACAATCGTATAAATTTGCATCATGTTCACTGAGTTTCTGTAACCTTTAGGATTATTTTCCATATGCCGTATGGTGTGATGAAACACAAATTTGTTTCTAAGGCTTTGTCCTTTGGAAGCATAGATCGCCCACTTTGGGATTTGTACACTGACAAAAATTAAAGTCAATCCATGATGTGCTACACATTTCACTCCATAGAGTAGAGAAGAGCTTTGTTTAGGAATTAGCATAAATGTCCACAAACGTAGTAAAGACTTTACTTCCCAATTTTTTAGAGTCCTATTTGCTTATAAGTCTATACAATAGTAATAGTTCATAAAATATTATGATATTCTATACAATATTATATAATTAATATAATCATATAACATAATAAAGGGTAATATTAATTTTTTAAATAAACACACATCCAAACCATGCAAATCTCATTACCTTCTATTTTGTTATTACACAAGAAACTAGTACTTCTAATAGTAGAAAAGAAATACAGCATCTGGAATAAAGTACTATTTTTCTTTTCTATTTACAAATTCCACATATCAGTTAGTTGATTGCTTGTTTAAATAGAATCTTCATGCAGATCCTTAAACACCCCATGGACTTATCTTCACATCATATTTGAGAGTATTGATATAATTGATATATTTGGTTGTTCATTTTTCATCCTCTTTGATTGAATTTTACATATTTATATGTTAAAACGCCAAAGAAGGTCAATAGTTACCTCCAATGCTCATTTGGCTCCCAAATAAGATCTCCTTGATACCTAGGTAACTTCATCCTAAATACATAACTGGATTCATCTAAAAAACATGTGTTGTATCAAAGGTGGGTTTATGCTTATTTGCCAGGAAGTTTTAATAAAACGAAGAGAAAAATTTTAAATATGTCTCTGATTATAGTACCTTTAGTACCTCTAGTATAATTATAATTTTCATTTTGCCCTCAGTCTTTATTAACTTATATTCAATTTATTGCATAAGCATAAAATTATAAGAAATATTGAAATAATGAATTCACACATGTTCTGGAAAAGTAGAATTTGTATTTGCATGTATTTATTATAACATTATTTTCAGTTTACAGAAAGATATGCTTCCATGACTACAAATTATCTGGGTTAGAAAAATGGACCATCTACATAGATAGAGATGACACTGAATACCTGAGAAAGTAGAGAGAGGGAAAGTTCAACTATACAAGGCTTGGGTACTATCTAAGGAATTGTGGATAGAGAGCTATGTTGTTAAAGATTTTTTGGAAATTGAATTTGAAACCACTATTTATGGGTTCACTAACTGATTTCATATAGGGTATAGCATGCAAGAATTAAGAGTTCAGCAACTCAGGAGTAGTCAGTTCCACAGATTAAAGTGAATAAGGTTTTTGAGCCAAAAGATAAGGAAAATTCAGAGGACCAAAGTAATAGTGAAATATGGTTAAATTATTACAGAACATGATCTTTAAGACATGTAATTATTTACTCTAGAGAAAGCTAAAATCAATCTTCAATTATAAGCTTGGCTACTACCCAGAGGATGCAATAACTACATCTGCTGAACCCCAAACAGATGGAATTAATTGTAACAGTGGAAAGATATATGTGAGATAAAGAAAGGAAAAGTCTTCCTGGTTGTGGAAGCTATTAAGTGGTTGAAAGTTCAACAGTGTTTTTGTTTTTAGCAAATATGAAAAATAGCTTGCAGAATTGCATGTTTATCATGTCCTTGATTTTCTTTAGATTATCATCACATATGCTTGCATTCTTTAGCAATATGTCCACTTCTGAAGTTCATATAATTTGAATAATACTGTATATATTCCAATATACTTTTGTTTGTTCAAAATTATATTTCCATGTTAGGGTTTTTTTTTTTAGAACTGCCTTATTGTCTGGTACAAGATTTTCCAAGTATATCTTATACTTTCCCTGCCCAATCAACCACTTCACCAAGGAGCCCCAGTTCCTTTTATTGCCGAATGGTATTTAGAAATCAAGATCTGGTCTCCAAGTGTGCTTAACGCTCCTGGGTTATCATTGCTTTTAGATCTCTCATCATATAGACTGTGAAGATATGTTTATTTCTATTTATTTCTGTATCTTTTTTTCTGTGTGTATATTTTGAAAACATAAGCACATAAGCAAATTTATTGTAGAAAATGAGAGTCAAATGTGTCAGCATAGATAGATAGATAGATAGATAGATAGATAGATAGATAGATAGATAGATAGATAGATAGATAAAGATATCTGTATAAATTTGTGGTAGATAGATGATAGATAGTTAGATGACAGATGAATATATAAATATCACATAGACATCTCCAACTCTAATCCAACACCACAGGGTTCTAGCCTTTCCCCCTTCACTTGTTTGTAAGGTTTTTCCCAATGAGAAGAAAATTTGGCCCTTATGTTCTACAATATATTTAGTTATTTCTTGAATCATAACATACACATAAAATAGTTTAAGATTTGCTAACCCATATCTCTGTGAGAAGCAAATTTACCCACTACAATGCATTCCTTGTATAATGCTCTTTTTGTATTTGACTTTAGATTATCCACTCATTCTCTATGGTGTACAGTTCTATGGATTTTGAAAAATGCCTAGTTGTGTGCCCATCATTAAGTTGTAATGCCAGTTTCAAATCCCTCCCACTTCTTTCATGCTATCCCTTTATTGTTAAAACCTTCCCTCATCCCTTAACCTCTCATACCTATCAATCTGTTTTCCATCCCTATGATTTTGCTTTTTCCATAACAGTATATAAATGGAATCAAGCAATATGTTGTCTTTTGAATTTGGCTTCTCGATGTATTCAGTATCCCTTCCCCTTGAATCTGAGCTTTCCTGTGACTGTTTTCACCAAAAGAGTATGAGGGAAGTGACATTATACCAGGTCTGGACCATAAGTGGGCTAGCATTTTCCATCTTGTTCTCCTGAAACTATGAGATGCTATATAAGAAATCTGAGTACTTGGAACTCACCATTCCAAGAATCCCAAGGCACATTGAAAAGTCCTCACTGAGATGAGACACCATGTGGAGATAAAGAGAAAGCAAGAGAAAGAGAGAGGTCAAGAAGACTAAGCACCAGACATATGGGTGAAGTCAACTTGGAAGTAGATCCTCAGTCCCAGATGCCCCAGTAATAACATAGATAAGAAATGAACCACCTTGCCAAACCCTTTCATAATTCCTGACCCAAATAATAGTAATAGGGAAAAAATGTAATATCATTTGACCCTTACTTCATTTCATATATGCAAACATTAATTTGAAGTGGATTCTGGCTCTAAATATAAAAGAAAAAATTATAAAATATCTAGAAAAAAACATTAGAGAAAATATGATCTGAGATTAGGCAAAAATTCTTAAACAAGATTCAGAAAACACTAAGCACAAAAGGAAAAGTTGATAAATTGTACTGCATTAAAATTTTACATTTCTGGCTTTCTAAAGACACCACTTAGAATTTCAAAAGGTTTGTCACAGCTCAGGAAAATACATTCACAACACACATACTTTGTCAGTGTCTTTATTGTTTATCTTTCCCAATCTTTATTTTCAACCTAGTCAATTTTGTGCTTTTTAATTAAAGTGTGTTATATAAAGATTATGTAAATGGTTCTTTCCTATTACTATTTTAACTTGATGATCTTTGACTTTTAACTAGAATATTTAATATATTTGCATTTAATGTACCTACTCATATAGATATTTTCTTTGTTTTCTATTTGTCTCATCCTGCTATTCATTTTGTTGTTGTTGTTATCATTAATCTACAATTACATGAAGAACATTATGTTTACTAGGCTCCCCCCTTCACCAAGTCCCACACACACACACCCCATTACAGTCACTGTCCATCAGCGTAGTAAGATGCTGTAAAATCACTACTTTTCTGTTCTGTGTTGCACAGCCCTCCCTATGCTCCCCCTACATTATACATGCTAATCATAATGCCCTCTTTCTTTTTCCCCCCCTTACCCCTCCCTTCCCACCAATCCTTCATAGTCCCTTTCCCTTCAGTAACTGTTAGTCCATTCTTGGATCCTGTGATTCTGCTGCTGTTTTGTTCCTTCAGTTTTTCTTTGTTCTTATACTCCACATATGAGTGAATCTGTTCTATTTACAATTGCATTCATGAGAGATGCACAAATTCTGAAAGTATGCATCATTTCTCTCTACCTTTTAAGATTTAAACCGTTGTTTTATGATGTATGTGTTACTGTTTTTTTAAACTGGTTTTGGTTTCCCTGATTTTCATGAATAGCTGGGTGGATATCCTACATAAGATAATAGAAAACACAGCCATTTTATCTCTTCAAATGTTGCTTTTCACCCATTCCCTTTTTATTCTCCTTCTGAGTTCCAGTTACACATATATTATACTGTTTTACTGCATATCATATGTTTCTTATGCTCTGTTTTCTTCTTTTTTCTCATTATTTATTCTTTTAGTGTTTAAGTTTGCATAATTTATATTTTCCTGGTTTGTAGTCCTCTAGTCTTCTGTGCATAGGCTTCTGCTAAACCTATTATGTTTCTAATTTCAGATATATTACTTTTCAGATCTACAATATCCATCTGGTTCTTTTGGAAGAATCCATTTCTTTTGTAGAAACTTTTTATTTTTCAATTATTTTTCATATATTTTTTCTACCTACTTAAACATTTTTATTATAATTGTGATTTTCAAAGTCATTGTCTAGCAATTTCAGAATCTAGATCATCTGTAGGTCTTATTCTATTGGTTATTTATTTTTATCCCCTAACTGAAAAGCATTTCTTGCTTCTCACATATACTGTAATATATTTTTGTATGCCAGACATTGTGCTTAAAAGAAAGTAGATTTGAAGTCAATATTATTCCCCACATTGAGGGCATTTCCCTTCCTCTGTATGGTAGACAGAATGAAGTTTTGACTACTTCAATCCAATCAAAAATTGGCTTTGATGATATCAGGGTTACAGCTTTATTTATCTTAATTCACCTCTGGTTTTACTTATCTTTCAGGAAGGACCTGACCAATATTTATTGTAATTCCTCATTCTCAGGAATAGTACAGTGAGAGAGGTTGGAAGAGAAACATTTATAGTTCTTCCAGACTCCAATCCTTTACACCATCCCAAATAGTGATCAGAAGCTTTGCTTCTTTCTCTTTCCCAAGAGAATTTTTTTGTATACCACAAGTCTGATCCTTAACCCATGCCCAATATCAGCAAATCCCTCAGGCAGAAAAATTACCACCAATCTCTGCTCACCTAAAAATTGCTTTTACCTTTCTGGAATATAATTCTTATATTTAGATCCATGCATCTATAGCTCTCTAATGAGTTTCAAAAATACATTATTTTAATTTTTAGCCAGTTCTTATAGTTGGTATGATGTAAGCAATGATCTGGTTCTACCTTCTATATCCTATCAGTTCTCCATATAAATGTTTGTTATCAGATAACCTTTCCTTTTGAGGAATGTCATGTGCCCCTTTCTTCTTCTATACAAGTTTTAGAATCAGTTTGTCAAGTTCACTAATAAAGTGTTGAGGTTTTTATTTTTGTTGCATTTCATTTTTAGAACAATTCAAGTACAAAATGCTTTGATATGTCTTTCAATTCATGACTGTATGTCTCTCCATTTATTTATGCCTTCTTTAATGTCTTAAACTAAAATGTTATCTAGTTATAAATGAAAATTTTATCTGATTTCATTTTCTAATGTTTATTAGTAAAGCATAAAAATGCAAATTAATTTTGTGTATTAATTTTATATGCCAAAAATTATATACTTCATATTAATTCAAATTATTTACAAATTATTTTTATCAGGTTTCCTACAATGACAATCATACAATTTCTGTATAATCATATTTTCTTACTCTCCAAGAAGAATGTTTATTAAAAATGGCCATGGCAGATACCCTTGATTAGTTCATATATGGAATTTTTCCAATAATTCTCTATTAATTATAATTTTTGCTATACAATATTTATGGAAACCTTTGATTAGGTAACAAATTTCCTTCTACCCTTGGTTTCCTAAGAACTCTTACGATGAATTGATGCTCAATTTTACTTACTATTTTTCTGTATCTTTTGATACAATTATCAAATTTTCTCTTTCAAATTGTTAATATAGTAAATTTCATTCATTGGTTTTCTTATATTAAGCCTCTGTTGCATATCTGGGTTAAACCACCTGTCCAAAAAGTATGTATCTTCTTTTTTATACATTGCTTAGTTAGGTTCACTACCTAATACTTGGCAAAACATTTTTTGCATTAATGTCACAAGTGAAATGGCCTCAAATCTTCCTCATCAATTCATTTGTAGAGGCTTTTGGTATAAAACTCATGCTATTCTCATATAAGAAGCTAGAATGTCCTCTCTTTTCATATACTCTAGAATCACTGATGTTAACACTGAAGTTGTTGATTGACTCCTTGAGAAAACATCCATCTGAGATGATGTTCCTTTCTCCTGAAGTACTTATTTTAAGATTTTTGCATAGTGAAAGTCTGTTACAGGAAAACGCTTTTAAGTTTTCTTTATCTTAAAATGTCATTATTTTTCTCTCATTCTTGTCATTTTTCTCATATACAATTCTACACCAACAGTTACTTTCTCTCAATGTACTAAATACATCATCACATTTTCCTCAAGATTTTATTGTTGCTGTTCATAAATCATCTCTCAGAATAACTGACATTCCTCTAAACGTGTCTATACTGCTGGCTGGAGTTTTAAATCTATGTATCTTTGGTCGTGAATTTAACTGTTTTGTTTAGGTATGAATTTCTTATTTTTAACTTTACCTATCTTCCATTTTTCTTAACCTGAATTCTCTGTTTTCGATTCTTTGGAAATTCTTGGCAATTTCTGATCTCTCTGAAGTTCACAAATTTGCTCTTGCTTTGTGTAATCTACTAATAAACCCATTCTTGTTTGGATTTTATTAAGCAGTCGTTTTTATAGAGTCTCTTTTTAAATTTACTTTCAAACCATTATTTTATATCTTGTGTCTGACAATTCCAATAACAATATTTTTGCAGATCTGATTCTATGGTTTGTTTTTTCTTATTCATCGTGGCTTGTTTATTTTTGTTTTGTTTTGCTTTGCTTTTGTTTCTACTGTGAGCTCAAATTACTGTAGTTATTACCTGAGCTCTGAACTGCAATCATTTTTGAGAGAGGGCTTTTGTCTGGTCCTGCCAGATCCCAAGGGCACTACTAAGCAGGAACCAGTTCATACTGAATACTTGTATACTGAATATTGAGATCACCCAGGAAGTATGAAATCAGTCAGTAAAACTGAAATCAAATGGCTGTGGTTACTAAGTCTAGAAGAGCTTTTTGTTCCCCTCCATACAGTTTCTAAGTTCAAGACAGGTAATTTTGCTTGTCCTTTCCGAGGGTGAATGTATAGGGGCAGAGAGATAATTCCTGATGAGCATCCCATCTTGGATACACCTGAGGTTTATCTGTGTTCCCCATTCCCAAACAGTTCCTGAAAACAAACTTTATCCATACAGTCAATTCCTTCAAGGGGAACTGACTTCTGTGTTTTGTTTCCCTCTATTGATAGCTTGGCTCCTAAGAATTCCTTACTTTCTTGACTATTCACAGATGCATTTATAGAATTCATTTTTAATATTTTTCCCAGCTTCATTTAGCTGTTTTCAGCTGGACAGGTCTGTCCACAAATAATTCCTTCATTGTATAGAAATTCATTTGAATTTTATGGCAGGCATCATTTTCTTTTCATATTTAGTCTTAATAATTTTAAGTTCAATTGGTTTGAAATAAACATTTGTTAGTTGAGTGTCTAGAAATTTTTTAAAGCTGTGAGTGGAGACAACACCTATCCTAGGAGAGCTTATGGGCCAGTGGGAGAATTACATAAGTAACCAAACAATTACCACAATTTGATGGATATAAAAGCCAATAAGAAGGACATAGATACACCACAAAAACAGAAAAAAGGTGCTTTTTTACCTCAGCCTGTCCCTTTGTATGTGGGAG